CCCCGCCGCCGCCCTCGCCGCCGCCTCCATCGCCGTCGCCGCCGTCACCGCCGCCGCCCTCGCCGCCGCCGCCCAGCCCGCCGCCACCGAGCCCGCCGCCACCATCTCCGCCGCCGCCGTCACCACCGCCGCCCTCGCCGCCGCCGCCCTCACCGCCGCCCCCCTCTCCGCCACCGCCGTCACCGCCACCGCCGAGCCCGCCGCCTCCGTCACCGCCCCCACCGAGCCCACCGCCACCGTCACCACCGCCGCCGTCGCCGCCGCCTCCATCGCCGCCGCTGCCGTCACCGCCGCCGCCAAGCCCGCCGCCGCCGAGCCCGCCGCCCTCTCCGCCGCCACCATCTCCGCCGCCGCCGTCACCACCGCCGCCCTCGCCGCCGCCTCCCTCACCGCCGCCGTCGCCGCCGCCGCCCAGCCCGCCGCCGCCCAGCCCGCCGCCGCCCAGCCCGCCGCCGCCGTCCCCGCCGCCGCCGTCCCCGCCGCCGCCCTCGCCACCGCCTCCATCGCCGCCGCCACCCTCTCCTCCGCCACCGTCCCCGCCTCCGCCGTCTCCTCCGCCTCCCTCCCCGCCTCCTCCCTCCCCGCCTCCTCCCTCGCCGCCGCCGCCGAGCCCGCCGTCCCCCTCGCCGCCGCCGCCGAGCCCGCCGCCGTCCCCGCCGCCGCCCTCGCCTTTGCCTCCGCCGCCCTCGCCGCCTCCGCCCTCGCCTCCGCCACCGTCCCCGCCGCCACCATCACCGCCGCCGCCGTCGCCGCCGCCGCCGAGTCCACCTCCGCCCTTGCCGCCGCCTCCGTCTCCTCCGCCGCCGTCGCCACCGCCGCCGAGCCCGCCACCCCCTGTACCGCCGCCGCCCTCGCCTCCACCGCCCTCGCCGCCGCCACCATCTCCTCCGCCACCGTCGCCGCCGCCGCCGTCGCTGCCGCCTCCCTCCGCCTCACCGTCGCCGCCGCCTCCCTCGCCACCACCGCCCTCGCCGCCGCCGCCGTCCTTGCCGCCGCCCTCGGTACCCGCCACCATTCTTAACTTCGGCTTCCCGCCGGCAGCGCCGGCTTCCCGCCGGCAGCGCGCGCTGGCCGCCCTCGATTTGGACGAGGTCGAGGCTGCCGTGATCGTTTCTTTCGCCGACGGGAGTCCGCCTGTGAATGTCGCCGCCGAGCAGATGTACATCGAGGATCTCGGCGATAGCAGGGTACGCGTGACTATCGTTCAGGCCGAGGGGGGGCCGGCTGCGGAGGAGATCACGGCCAGGGCGAAGCAGCCAACCTTCCTCGAAAGAATGGCAACGGAGCTGGACGTGCCTAAGATCATCTACGACACGGCACCCGTCACCATCTCGGTGGCTATTGCGCCACCACGGCCGCCGTCGCCGCCGCCGCCGCCGCCGCCGCCGCCATTGGCACCGCCGCCGTTGCCGCCCTCGGCCTAGCCGTCCGCGGCCCCCACCGTCTTTTTACCCCCTCGACGCCGCCTCCCTCCA